CTGTAACAGCCAGCCCAAGGCATATATGCAAGCGCTCTCAAGGGGTTGGGGAAGGAATCTACTTACTTCCTGCGGTCTAACCGGAACATGAAAATTCCCACCAAAGTTCCTTTTCTGGCCAGATCAACTCCTCTCAGCTCTCAAGTGCTGCTCAGGTAACGTGACCAAAAGCTGTAGAATGACGTGTAGCCACGTTAGCCATTGGTCACGTTACCACAGAGTGCTGCTACCTGTCACCACCACGGAACGCCCGACATAACATTGGGGCCATTTACACAGAAGCAGCCATTTCAGCGGGGTGGCGGTGCTCTGGGAGAATCAGGCAGTAGTGGGCAGCAATCGTCCTGATCTCGTACTCGCGCGGGGTAGAATGGCACTTGTGGTGGACTTCTCAGTGGCTGACGCACGAGAGGGCAAACTTAACTGTAAGGTAGAAGAAAAGCGCCAAAAAAAGCGAATCCACCCAGGCCCACTTCATTACCATCGGTTACCATAGCGCCAAAGTACTCCCACCTGAGGAAGGGGCAATGGGAGAATGGTGTGCGGGTAGTGTCGCCGCACTAAATGATGTTGAAGACAAGATAAAAGCCTTAAGAGAAAGAATGATTACTCAGACCATCGATGGCAGTGCGGCATTCTACTACACGCACACCGGCAATATACACCTGGCCTCGCGTGATTACAGATAGCGCGGGACATAGTTCGCAGAGGCGCCTCCCTCCACAGAAAGCTAGCTGCGGAACAACAGACAAGACCTGCAGTAATACCAAACGACAAACTGGAGCTCCTGCCTAGAAAGTGGGTGCCTCCAGTGATAGTAAAGTGAAAGCAAGAAGTTAGTGGCAGCCTAAGTGATAGTGAGGTGAAAAAGTATATGCAAATATGCAAGAGGATCAATACCGGATACAAGCCACTCAAAACTAGATCCTGATCGGAAGGTTCATTCGACTAGGTTTACGTATTATAATAACATCCAATAACATACACTGTAAATAATAACCAACAATGCACACATTGTAAATAGTAGCAGTAGTATAGATAGTAGTCATATAGCAGTAATATAGTAGTATAGAATTTACACTAAGCTAGATGGCAACTGAAATGTATATATTAGATTAAGAAACAAATATTTGTGTTGAAGAGAATGGTGGTAATCTCATATTTGTTAAAATCACAGATTTTTAGTGTTAGCACATTGACCGCCAAATTGCTTCAAATTTGGCGTCTTGTTTTTTAATAGGGTCCTTTTGATGTTCTTTGAAGGCGTTTCAGAGGAAAGGATCGTACATTTCAAAGTTGGCGCTGTGGCGATAGTCTTAATTTTACTTAAAAAGCCGCGCGAATTTCTTCCTTGTTGACAAAATACTCACTTCTTTCGTACAAAGCACCTTAACGTAGATTGTCAACTTCTTCCTGTTACTTCGGAGCGTCATCAAAAGATCGCATCAGCTCCTAGGCAGCACCTCGTTCGAACCATGTGTAACATTGTCAGAATTCTGAGAATGCCCAGATTTTCCGTTTAAAGCCACGGGCTAGCATTGTCATCTGAGGCGAAATGCAGAAACCTTAGTAAAAACGGGTTGGACGCCTTCAAGATTCTATTCGGGGTGGGCCAGGCACTTGGATGCAGTCGTAACATGAAGTAAAAACGACGAAATTCGTAAAGAAAAGTTTGATTTCGTCTGGGCAGATGTAACAGTGACAATCTCTTCAGTACTCGTTAATTCTTTCTCCAAGTAACAATCTTTGTTAGTTGTCTGTCGTCTCTTTTCCAGAACATTCTTGTCTAACAAAAAACCACTGATAGAAGAGGTTTCGTTGCAGCTTCTACTAAATGCTCTCCCAACTTATCCTACGAGTATTTCGCAGCCTCAACATTTAGAAAATTGAAAAAACACAATTGTTTTTGGGAGTATTACTACAACTATAATAGTAGAGACATAAATTTTTTCCTTCTTCAATTTTCTTATTTTCAATTTTTCGAAAATATGAGTAGTTTCCGCGTAATTTTGCACGAAATACAAGATTTTTTCTCAAACACCGGTCCAATTTTTTATTTCAATTTGCCACATATGTAATAAGGGGCGCTAAAAACTATGGTGCAAGTCTTATTTAGGGCTATTGTTCCACTTTTTCAAATATGCTAAAAACAGAACATTTGAGAACGACAAAATTGTATACAGTGATTTGTCTATTGTAAAAAACAACTTCTCTTTAAAAAAAGGTCAAGAACAAGTTTTTGAGAAAACGAGACTATTTTTCGATTCTGAAGGAATCATTCACGGAAAGTTTGTGCCGGAAAGTCAAACAGTTAACTCAGAATATTATTTAAGTATTTTAAACCGATTGTGGGCGAGTTAGGAACCTTGCGAGTTATTAGTCGAGCGCGGCCTGAATATCGAGAACAAGGCTCTTGGTTGCTTCGTCATGGCAATGCCCCGGCCCATAAGTGAAAGAAAATCCTATATTTTTTAAATAAAAATGCATCTCTGTGCTCGATCATAGTGCTTATTCGCCCGATCTTGCGCTCTGTGACTATTGGCTGTTTCCCAAATTGAAAATGGCGATGAAAAGAAGAGAAACAACACCACACAGGACATTCAAGGAAGTTCGATCGCTATCTTAATAGCAGTTCCAAAGATTGAATATATAGTAAATACTTTGAACAATTTTTAAATCGTTACAAGCAGTGCGTTGATTCAGATGGGGAGTATTTTGAATAAAAATGCAAAAATCAAAACGTCACTGGCGTTTTTCTAGTTTTTATTGAACCATTCGCACCAGAACTCAGTGTATATGGTCTTCCACATACAGTCGCGTGATATATTCTTCTCTAAGGATTACGTTCTTCAACCTGTTTCGGTATTTATTTAGCTCGAGGTCTTCCAATATTTTTTTTCCCTTTGCATTGCCAAAGCTGGAAGTCGGCTACTTGGCATTCTTCTTAGTTAATCACACCATATCATGTTATTTGTTATCAGCTGGCCAAGCAATGTTTCTACCCGTTATTTCTTTTTTCATCTAATATTGAATACTTTAAAAGTATTTCGAATACATTTCTTTTCTGCTGCCTGTACATTAGATTTATCTTTTTGGCATTGCTCTACCTAATCATCATATGTTAGAATATGCACAGCTACTCTAGAATATTTTGGACTTTTGTTTCTGTGAATTGTTCCACTATATTTAGGAAATTGTTTAATTTTACATCCAAGTCTGTCTTTTTCGCAAGAAATGTTACATTCTAGATACTTTAAGTGTTGTACCTGCTCTATTTCTTGTCATTCTATTACTGTTATAGTTCTTACTGGTATTTTCCCTTTAAATAATAATAATAATAATAATAATAATAATAATAATAATAATAATAATGAAAGAAATAGTGAAATAATAATGAAAGAAAGAGAGAGGAAGAAAGGGAGAAAAAAGTCCTCATAGATTCGTGCCTGGGCTGGGCCTTTATATCCAACAGCCAGTTTAGGGGGAGGGGTTTAGGATGTAACAGAAAATGCAAAAATTATTAGTACTAGTTTATATTAATGTAGATACATGTTTATGATGTATATATTATTTGAACTGTAGAATATATCGTTTAACACGAAAGCTTTCAGATTATTTTGAATGTGTGTATCGAGTTTAAGCTTTAAAATTTGCTAGGAAGTTTGTTATACAGTGTAAAGCCTTCTATAAGGGTACTTTTTTTAAAATGGTGATATTTCACTGTGTGAGACATACAGATTTCTTTTTGTCTAGTATCATAGTTATGAACCTCTGTGTTCTGAGTAACAGAATATTTTTTCCCATAAGAGTCTTATTTGTGAAGATTAATATTTCAAATATGTACATGCATGGGAGTGGTAGTATTTGTGATTTTTTGAATAGTGGTTTGCAGGACTCATATTTGTGAGTGTTTGTAATTGTTCTTAATATTCGCTTTTGGATGTAACAGATGACTTAATGATTTGGATGATGACAGTGTGAATACTTTCTGGGAAATTTCCCCAGAATATTTTTCCGTATTTTAGGTGCGAGTGAACATTTGCAAAGTACACCATTTGCAGTGTATCTAAGTTAGAATTTGACTTATGGGTATATATAGCATTATATGTGCATGATCTTGGCTGTCCGAGTGACGCGGCGGAGAAGGCTGTGTTGCCGACGTTTCGACCATCTTGTCGTGGTCTTCCTCAGGTATGCAGGGCTGACAGGGATAGTCGAAACGTCGTATACATCATGAGACTTATTTTCTGCAACTTACATTGATGACTACTTAAAGAATAAAAATAAAATAAGTCGCGTAATGTATGAGGATAAATGTCAGAAAACTGTTTTTATTTTAAATCAATTAACTACAATTAAATCAATTACAGTTATATTATTATCCTTATGTTATCATACGAAAGCTTTCAGAACCTGCAAAATGTCCTTGGCGTTGCTTCACACGTCTGCAACTTCGCTAGCAGATGCAGCTGGTTCTGTACTTAACCTTTAAGGGCATATCTTTTAGAAAAGTTTTATTGTGATCGAAGGCTATTTTTAAAACTATTTACAGAATAAAAACAATAATTTTAAGTGATATAAAACGAAAAAGAGAAATTAAAAAAATGCTTCTCTTTAAGTAGTACTTGTTTTTATTAAGGAAGTAGTCTTTCAATGTCTAGTCCAATAAATTACTTTATAAACGTAAATCGGAAAAGGTTTGCTTCACGGAGAAAAACAAGACTGTAAAATGACACTTTGTTGTACAAAAAATAATATTTGAATAACGCGGGTCAGTGCTGCCAACGTTAGCATCGCACAATTTTCTGATTCTTCAGTGTTGGTAGCTGGTATTTCACGTTTAATGAAATGTATAATGTATATGTATCTAAAATACATGATGCAAATATGTGGAAACTAAAACATGATTTAATACATTGGATCTGATAGTCCATTATCATTGATCACGTCCTCGCCTAGTTAACATATTCCTCCCTGTACGGTGCGCGAAATTCGCGAACTGCGCATGCGCCGGCGTTCTTTCATGTAATGCAATCTAGCGTGTTCTTGGCGCTCGCTGGGCTCGCTGCTCGTGCGCTTGCATGTAATCTGATGTAATGTCAGAATAGTAACCGCGATCAGAAGCTGTTGCATTTTCTTAACGAATTAGATCTGCTTTGGAGAATGTCGAAGCCGAAGTTGATTGTATTTGATTTAGGTGAGGTAGGGGAAGTCTTGAAATTTCTAATCATAGTAAAGTAAAATACTAAGTAAAACAAATATGGGTGCTTTCGAAACAAGAATTTCCTTTCATTTAAAATTCCCAGAATAACATCTTTGAAATCTGGTTTACGATTTTTCTTCCAGATTATACTTTATGGCCGTTTTGGGTTGATACGCATGTCGACAGACCTTTCAGAAAAGATAAGTGAGTAAATGTTATCAGAAAGTGGATGCACCGCCACATGTCTTTCCATGAGCTGAAACTTATTTTTTTCTTTCAGAAATGGAGTTGTATATGATCGAAATGGACAAAAAGTGAAATTTTATCCGGAAGTTCCAGACGTTTTAGAAAAGCTGCAAACAGAAGGTTACACTTTGGCAATTGCATCAAGAACAGGTGAAATTAGAGGAGCCAATGAATTGGTTGAGTTGTTTGGATGGCAAAAATATTTTCAGTACAAGGAAATATATCCAGGATGCAAGGTTCAACATTTTACTGAGTAAGCAATAATTTATATATTGTGTATTTTAAATGCTTCCAATTAATGTATTTATGCATTTGTTATTGCTAAATTAGTAACATTCAAAATCATGTTTGTGCAAAGCATTTACAATGTAGAAATGTAATAATTTAGTTAGAAGTTATATTTAACACTGCATATTTGCATATTATTAGCAATGTAAACATGTAATGTAACATATATAAGAATGACTGTAGTTATTTATTGTGTCTGCATTACTCGAAAAGTAGCAACTCTTGATTTATCTGCTTTAGGTTTAAGAAGCAATCTGGAATATCATTTGAAGAAATGATGTTTTTTGATGATGAACAAAGAAATATTAATGATTTATCTGCTGTTGGAGTGACGGCAATACTGGTGCCACATGGTGTAACGATGAAATTGGTAGAAAATGCATTGAAAAAATTTCAACAAAGAAATAAGTAGTGAATAAATTGTGGCATTTTTAAATGGTGATTAATTGCTTTAAAACCGTGTTTGAGAACTGTGATCAAATATTTTAATAGCTGTTGACTGTATTTTAATGAATAATGAGAGTAAAGTACCTTCTTTATATAATTTATTTTGGAGTTACTTTCTATTAAGTATCATTTGATTAATGAAACCAGATGCTGAATGTATAAATGACTAAGAAAGAAAATGTATATGTTATTTTATGAAATATATTGTTCTTCACTGTGATGGAATAATTTTATTTCTATTATGTCGGTACTACCTTAATTGCACGCCACAGAAGCCGTCCTGAAATTATAAATTTCCACTAATTGACTTCCATATTAGGTTAGTAAAATGCCATAAACAACACAGAACAAAAATACAATTCGAATAACAGATTCGTCCCATATTCTTTCGAATAAACAATATAAACACGACGATTGCGCACCTCATTTTTTTCGTACAGCGCATTAACGCGATTGGAACAGTCTTGTCATGCTACCTCTTGAATCTGACAACCGTAGTGCATAACACTATCTACATTTGCCTTTAAGCACTCTTCAATATAAACTTATTTTGCAGAAGAATATTTTTTCATTCTTGCCATTACATCATCGACGTTCGTTCTTGGATCGTGCGTCCCCGCAATCGTTTATGATTTCATTTGACTAGTTTATCATGGCGAACATGACGTCAGAAGACATCGCTCTGGCGTCATTTGTACATTAAGCGGAGCATCATCAGTGGGATTTAGGGGTAAGATGGAATAGACTTTTACTTCGATTTCATGTTGGCCAAATTCGAAATGAATGGCAGATATTTTAAGAAAGAAAAATTTTATTTTTATGAATAATTTTTACGAATCTGATTAAGATTTTGTGGCTTTAAATTCTTGTTATATTTCGTTAGTACAGTATTTATTTGTAAACGATTATCAGATTAAAAGCACTAGAGGTTAAAACATTTAAGTATTACCATATAAAGATTACACTAATCAATAAATACCTTTTTATGTATTGGGAAAAGGATAGAAAAAAAATGTCAGCTCGTTTGACCTTGAATCTTCACGAACGTCGTGGTGCAGTTTTCTGAAATCATTAGTTGCTCAGTAATGTTTCTGTAAACGATATGTCGTGTTTCTTATCCAAAATATACACAAAAAAGTTTCATCTAAATGTTTTCATTTACAGGTTATTTCATTTCTTGACGCTTGCACCTGACTGATCATGTCGATCCAGCAGTTTTGTTTACGTTGGAATAATCACCAACCGAACTTTATATCTGTATTTACTAATCTGCTTTTAAGTGAATCGTTAGTGGATGTTACACTGGCAGCAGAGGGAAAACATTTGCAAGCCCACAGAGTTGTGTTATCTGCATGCAGCTCGTATTTTCAGGTAATTTAAATTCATTATTTTGTATCGCATAAAACTTTATCTTTGTTCGTAATTGATTTTTTTTTCAGTCTTTATTTACCATTAATCCTTGCCAACATCCAATTGTGATCTTGAAAGATGTCAAGTACAATGACCTCAAGATTATGGTTGATTTCATGTACTATGGTGAAGTCAATGTATCACAAGAACAGCTTCCTGCTATCCTTAAGGTAAGCTTGTGAAATATTAAAAGTTCGTAGTGTTAACATACAGATATTTATTTTGTTATTTTGAAACAACAAATGATTAGGGAAACAACTTATTTAGTTAGTTTTATAGATATATATGTATTTTTTTTTAATCAACATTTTTTCTGTCTTCCCATGTATCCACTGTGATGTAAATTTGTACAGCCAAAAATAAGACCACATTGCTAACCCCATAGAATAGCCATCAAACATTTTGCTAGAATTCACTTTTATTCACTGCTGTAGGCAGTAACTTGTGGGTCAGTGTAAATGTTGTTTTATATTAATTGTAGAGACTGAACTCCATTGCATCTTATTGTTACAATGAGCAAAATGAGTGACAGGGGCAGATCCAACCAATCATTTTGGAAGGACCCATTGTAGATTTTTGTTCAGTAATAAACATTTTTGTTATTATATTGTACATTATTTATGAACTGTACATATGATGCTATACAATATTATTGTTTATATAATTATATAGTTTGAACATAAATATTTTAATAATTTTTTTCAAATAAAGAAAGATAATCAAAATCTCTTGGTCTTTTGGAGGGGGGACCAGGTCCCTCATGGCCCCCCTTCAATGTGCCAGTGAGTGAATCCATAATGAGGTTATCTTAAAGATAGAAGGGGAAGAGAAAGGAAAATGTATTATTTCTATTATAATTAGTATTTTGTTACACTACACTACACTACACTCCCCTTTTGAGATGCATTGAAAGAGGCATGTAACACCAACTAAACTTCATCACAAAAAAAATTGTATTTTTTTAGTGTTGATTGCTATATATTGCTTGGAATGTGATAATTAAATTTTCAAATGAGTGAACTTTTATTATTTACTCCAAAACAATCCTAATTTATCAAAAAATATTGTCTTACAGACCGCGGAAATGTTGAAAATAAAAGGCTTAGCTGATACAGATCAGCATATCTCAGGTACTGTTCATATGATGAAATCTGAAAGTGCATCATCTGATAAAGCAGATCTTCTTACTCCTGGAGATTCAACATGGGGATCAGATTCTGCAAGGAGAAGTCCATCACCAATGTCTCCTTCAATGCGCAGGAAGAGGTTTCGCAAGTCTTCCACTGGATCTGGTTCTGGATCCACAGGTAAGATGTTACTTAATATTATAAAATGCACAAGACATATCATCAAATAAGATTTAATTCTTACTTGTAAGATTTAGTAAAGAAAAAATCTACACTGTATGTTGTTGAAAATAGAAATTACCAGAAGTGTGAACAGCAAGCTAATTATTTTTATTAGTATTATTTATTGCAACTGTGTATTGTGAGGAATTCTTGTACAAGCAGCTGTGGCATTATCACATGTATAATACCATGAAATATACAGTGATATTTCTATTTTATAAGAATTCCTAAAAAGAAATATTTGATGAAATCTTATTTCCTTACTAGACAGCAAGTATTCTCCAATTTAAATTGAATCTTTTGACGTACAATCAACTGTGACATGGTTGTTCAGTCAGAATCTTCAATACAAAAAATTAAGTTGTAACAATGCTCTCAATTGGAAAACCACATCCAGGTGATTGTATGTCAAAAGTCACTTCATATGAATTGAAGTATAGTACCTTAGATGCTTAATACATTGTAAAATTCAATCTTAATTGAGAAAGAATATCTTACAAGGGATGTTTCTCAGAAATTAACATTGATCTTACATTAGATTAATAATTAACTAGGTTTATTTTTGTTGAAGTATTTGTTGTGATCCTAATAGATTAACTGCACTGATGAGTTCTTAGCAGATATCAGTGTAATACACTGTCAACACACAACACAAAACATTATCTTCAGCAATATGTATAATTGCCCTTCGATGCATAATGTAAACCTCCAAAGCCCAAAGGTATTTTCATTTTCTTATTTTTTGAAACCTATCATGTTAAGTAAAGAGTTGATTATTATTAATTTTTTTTTCCTTTCTCCCCTTCTATTCCCTTATTCTGACAAATGTATATTACAGTTACAGAATGTAATTATTAACAGTAATATGTTTGTGCACTTGTACTTAAAACAAGGGCCCCCTATTTCCTGATACATCAACTGCACAAGTAGTTTTCTGAGAATGTACATCAATATACGCCTACAAGATACAGTCCGATGGCTGCTACTGCTGTCAGTGGCATGCGACTTAGTATTACAGAGTTCAACAAAGGTTTTGTGTACAATTGGGAAATGAAATTTCTAAAACAATTCACTGTGCTAACAGCAATATTGAAGATAGCAATTTTTTCTTCAAATGAAATTTGTTCTCCACAATTAGTTCTTTAATTAATGTCACATACTTCTTGTTGGAAAAATTTAATTGTTTTTTGCCAAATTTTGAGTGAAATATGGGTAATATTTAAAAGATTTTCTCAAAAATGGCTCTCAAAAATTTCTCTCTCTCTCTCTCTCTCTCTCGCGCGCTCTCTTTCATTGTTTATATTTACATTATTGCATTTGTGAGTACAGTGTTATTTTGTTTCTTCAAAAATTACACAAATGCTTTTATTTCAATGTCTCTCACTTCATTAGTATTTATATTATGGACATTTCTTATACATTATCACATTTGCAAGAACAGTGGCTTCAATTAATTTCGAGTGAAGTTCTTGAAAACTCTAGTATTGTGAAAATGAGTTTCAAAATATGCATTTTCAGAATCACTCAAACATTTTTCTTGAGAACAGTGCAAATTTTTGCTTTAAATTTTTGTATAGTCATAGTATGAAATTCACTGAATAACATGACATGAATGCCACTTCGATGTATTCTTTTATTTTTTCAAAAATTAAACAAAAGTAATTATTTTGAAATACTTCTTACATTGTCAATACTTACATTATTCACATTTCTTGTACATTATTGGTTTTGTGAGTCCAATTGTGTAATTCTTTATAATGTTTCTCAAAAATCAAAAGTTTTTGGCGAAAATGACCTTCAAAGATACATTTTCAGAAACTCTCAAACGACGTTTTCTGAAAAACTGCTTCAAATTTTCCCAAGGAAATGTGCTTTTTAGAACCAGAGTTTACTTTTCTGTAATATTATTTAAGTGATTTCAGTTCTGCTATTAGGGATCTGTAAAATTGAGAAAATGTGAAAAAAGTTGTTTTAAGTGCAGCTAAGAATCAGGTGGGGCAAAACTGAAAAGGTAGCACAAACTGAAGAGAGATAGAAACTGTTTTTTGTATTTATTACAATAAATATGAAAAATAATTGCAAAATTGTTAATCGTTATTTCACAATTTATAACAAAAATTAACTAGTGGTGCTACAACAGTACATACTTTCTTTCAATACTTCTAAGTTTTGCAGTTTTTGAAAATTCAGTGTGTTCAGTAAAAGTGATACCTGTGATTCTCTTTGTATGCATCTTTTGTTCTATCCTTGGTTGAAATATTTGGAGCCATTTAAAAAAAATGTTTTTTTAATAAATTGCATAAACTTCAAGCAGAAGTAACACAAAAATTACTTGTTTTCATTGATAGATTCATTCAAGATTTCATTGATAAATTATTTAGAGAAAAATGGTATCTTCAATATCATACTTTTGCAATGTTAATTCTTTGCAATTTTGGAAAGAACAGAGACTTTTCTGAAAATGGAACTAGCACAAAGTGTTATTTTACCGTCCTTTGATGACAAATGTTTTGATACATGGAGAGGAAAATTGGAGCAATTTTGGAGAAAACTATGTTCAAAAACAGATATCATAAAGAAATAATCTCTATTTTCAATATTTTAGTTGTAGATTGCAAAAATTCAAAATCTTTTCTGTGGCTGTTTTCTAAAATAATGGACTTTAACAAAAAAAAATCTGTGCCATTTTTTAAGAGTTCTTTACATTTGTGACGTCATTTGATACAGCGAACACAGACACAAGCATTCATATAACAAATATATTTATTAACAAAGAAAACACAACAAATATTTACAATTAATTTCCTTCTTACACCGTAGCTCTGATAGACCTACTATCCCCTGATCGCGGGAGCGATCCAAACCCGATTGAAGATCAGTTTCGATTGTGGCATTCGCCACTCTTCTGAACTTCTGAAGCGCGCACAAAGCCTAGCTTCCGTGACCGGATGTCACACTGTCCGTTCTGGCGTACCAACGGATGGTTTGCCTCGATTGCAGGAGCGATCTTATCCGATTGAGAATGGGCGTGAATCGTGGCACTCAACCACTCCTCACCTCGGAGCACGCACACAGCATCGCTCCCCCGTGACCGCAGTCACCCAAGGACACAAAGTCCTCCGCAGGCTTCGTCAACTCGTGACTTGCCTCGCGAGCCTGGCTCGCATAAGCACCGTCGTGGCGCCAAGTTTTGTGCACATGTACGAGGTTCTTCCACTGTCTCCAGAACCCACCCACTGGCTCTGAGCACTCCGTTATATAGACGAGGCTCACGTGACCTACTACGTCACGCCACCCCCACCGCTGTTATAACAATTAAAGGTTTCTAAAGACCGGAAGACCCCAAAGCCTTGTGTCTCCCGTTTCCGCGTTCTTGCTTTACGGAAAAACCCTTCTCTCCTTCCTGTGGCGAGGCTAATCCTCTACCAAGCGTCCCCAAATAGATGCCACGAGGCACGCTGGCTAATACGTTACACATTGTGCGATAACAAAGTTTAATAAAAGATGGCACTATTTTAGGGGAAATTTTTAAAATGATTGAAATTTATTTTTTTACCAAATTGTAAAACATGCTTCAGTATTTCTTTTTCCCTCCTTCTTCTTTCTTTGGCATTCTATTTGTATATATGAGAAAGGGGGCATTGTATTATCTTAATCTGGCATCGATTCCATGACAATGGACCATATTTTTAAGAATGACAGCCATAATGTTTAAAATGAAATGCTGGAAAGAATCTCTCGCCCACTTCTCACTTGCTAGGGAAATCCTTTTCTTCTACTCTGCACTGTTGGTATAAGTTTATTTCAATTACAGAAATATTTGAGTTTGGTAGAAAAGTATATAGCTTCAACTAAAGTATCAATTGTGGCTCTCTAGTATTTCAGATCTAGCATTTTAGAGGCAGATATTCTCATTTATCAAGCTTTCACTCTGAAAAGTCGTTTTTGCTACTACTAAATATTTTTGTTTCTGACTATGAAATATTGGGAGAAAATCCCTTGTAAAATCTCTTTTTTCAAAAATAGATGTAGTTGAGACATTTTATTAATCGTATGGTACTATTTGTGGGGAGACTGCATGTAGGCGGTTGTTTCACTCCTTTGTTTTTTGACCCAGACTTCGTGGAAGTCTTCACCTGATGCGGGTCTGGGGACCTTTATTGAGCAGGCGCACCTCGCAAGGGATCCCCTAATTGGGCCTGGGATTTGACTCTCACTTTCTCTGCCAAATGTCAGTATCGGTTAACTAGATCCGAGCTGTCTGGTAAGGTGGGATGCTGTCAGAGATATTTAAGTTTGCTGGTTATACTGCCAGGATTCTTGTACATGCCACAAGTGTGACTGCTACTGTGAATTTTCCACCCTTCAAAAATACAAGCACCTCAGCCAGGATTGAACCTACACACTGGAGGTTCTGAGCTAACCCCACTCCCACCGAGCCCCCCAATTGAAAAATAATAGTAGGAGTGTTCATTGTATCAATAAGTTTGTGAAGTAATTCAAAGAAAATGTTTCAAATAAAGAAATTGTAAGTTAACTTACAAAACAAATTTTTCTTACCCTAATTGCCATTTCTAAGGAGTATCATTAGAATTCTTGAGGATGATTTTGTTGATATGTATCAGACAGCTATTTGTTTGGAAATGTATTACCCTTTAATAAATAACACTGGTTTACATAGGAATTTTTGCTGACCTGGGTATTTGAACTGATTTTATTTCATTTGAGGTCACTGATTAGAAATATGCTCTCAGAAATTGTCCATCATGTCACAATTTTTCACAAATTTTAAAAAATTATCATTTTCATGTGTTGCAGCAGGTTCTTATTATGTAGCACTTCAATTTATTAATGCAAGAGAGTAAAATTGTAGTTTATAAAGAGTTTTGAAAGTGTTGTTTTAGTCTGGACTTACACAAGCAAAATACACAAATGAAAGAAAACACTAATCACATTCATGTTGAAGGAACTTGAATGTGGTGAAAACTAGTGGAACATGGAACGTGAAGTGGCTATGCAGAAAATGCACTTTTGGCACTCATGTTTGCTCCTATCCCCTGATATGCTGGCAACAAAGTTTCAACTAGAACCTTGTAGTTGTCTGCCCTTTTGTTGTCAAAAAAGTTTGTTGCAACTTTACAAAAAGCACACCAAGCATCTTTCTTGATGGTACCCATTGTTTCCAAAAATTCTGTATCGTTCAAGAGATGCCTTATTTGAGGGTCATCAGAAATACCTGCTTTCAACTTCTCATGTGTCAATGATGGAATTATAGAGCAGATATAGTTTAAGCAAGCACCATCTTTTTAACAGAGCCTTCACAAACTGCTTCATAAGGAATAACTTAATAGGCAGTGGAGGTAATAGAATTTTATTGCGATCAAGAAGAGGCACATGTTTTATATTCTTCTCACCAATGTTTAATGTCTCCCTTACAGGCCATTATTTTCTTATTCAGTGTTCTTTCTGTTCAGGCTGTCCCAAAGGCACCTGTAACATGTGCCCTCCTTATTAACATAGGAGAATCGATATTTCCTTCAGGTCATCACAAACTGTCTAACATTGATCAGAGTATTTTATTTTATAGAGAAGTATTTTCATTGTTTCGTAAGTTACCTTCATTTTCAGTTAGTGACCAATAGGAATGTATGCTAATATGTTACCATTATTCAACAACACACACTTTAAACTGCTCTTTGAGCTGTCACTGAACAACAACCATTCCTCTGCAAGGTACTCGCATCACATAGCTTCAATGAGACCTTGACGTCAATGCAATACACAAGATGTTCATCCAGCTCGAAATATTTTACCAGGTTCTTTCTGTGTTGATATATGATTATAGTTCTGAGAGCTGACATGTTCCTCTCCTTTAGTCTGGAACCCAGTAATTCTGATTGTGATTTGGGCAGATCAAGATCACATACAAGGTCATTTAATTCACCTTGAGTGAATGTCTTGCACAGAACAGTGTTCATCACAAACCTAGAAATTGTCATCACTATCTGTTTTTGAAATGATTCTGGATTCGTAACTAGAACTGGAACTGAGAGTTAAAAATGTTTGGAAAATAGGGATAGGAACATCATCACCATGTGATATGGGTCTTATAGCTGACCGAAAGGAGTTAGGATACTAAATGGAATGTTTAAGACTGTTTGTTAAATCCTCTCATATCAACTATGCAAAAATAGCAGTCTTCGACATAATCCTTCTGTTCCTGCCACACCATTGGAACTTCAAAACTTCAGCTTTTTCTCTGTTCCCTCATCCATTGCCGGAGGTTTTTGTTCTCATGGTTGACACACTTTGGGTGGTGCCCAGCATTTATTCTAGTCACCAAGTTTAAACCCAAGATGTGCATAATAAGCTTTGGGTAGAAAGTCAGATATATTTGTCCTTCATTGTGGAGTTGTGAATTTGCCATAAATGTAGCAAAATGTGTGGATCATTTTTACACTTATTATGAACTTCAGACATTTTTCATCTCAATTTATAGAAAGAAAAATATATCAAGTTGATATTTTTAAATCAATGCAGAAACATTTATAACATTTCTATTTCTTGAAATGAACCGTATGTGGTTGTATGAAATAGTTTTAAATTATCGATCAAAAACCACATTAATTAATACAGGCACCTGCAAAAGTTGAAACAAATGGAATCATCATATGTGAAAATAAAACCTGATGTAATGGTGAAAATTGCAAATGATTTCTGAATTTAGAACCCTCAAATCAACAAAGATCTGTTAGCTTAAAGTCAGCAAAAATAATGTAGACCAGTGTAATTTTTGTATTCGCATTTTAATTGGACCATGGAGAATCAGTTTAAAATTCTAAGGTGATTCTTATAACGTTCATTTATTATTTTTCAGAGAGAACTTCAGAAGAAGTAACTAGTGAAATGTCTTTGGCACCTTCATTAGTAAAACCTGAGCCTGTTTCTTACACACCTGAAGCTGAGAGTGGAGGTCGCAGCGATAGTTCTTTGAGAAACAGCACTCAGGAGCCCAGTACTGACTCAGAACCTCGAGAAGGATCCCAAGACAGCACAGAAGATGACCCACTGTCTATGGTAAGGAAGAGAGGCAGAATGTACCCTGAAATCTTTTTGACTCAATTTCATGGTATCTCTACTTTTGCTCAAACACCTTCACCCTTCGTCCTGGGTATTCGTGCGACAGCCAGACAATTGCTTTTTGCCAGGACATAGCAGATTCATTAGACGAAGACGGAGTAGGGTCGACGCAATAATATTAGATTTTTCGAAGGCATTTGATTATGCTCCACATCGCCTTTTAAATTTCCAAGTTGTCAAGAACGGAAGATAGATCATTGAAATAAATCCTGTGGATAAAGAATTTCTTACGGGGCCGCACTCAAACATCAGAATAGGGGGACAAGTATCATCGGAAAGCCAATGTAAACCGGGTCCCCAGCGGGCAGTCGCTGCTCACGGCACTTCTAGCTATTCTTTTAGCGTTTATTAATGACATTGCAACTGGAAATATAAATCAGAAGGTAGACTTTGTTCGCCGACAATTGCATTAATATTATATTGATTATTGGCTCGTCTGAGGACGAAAATGTTTTACAGAGCAATCTTAACTGTTTAGTGGAACTGGCGGTGCAGAAATAGATGGAATTAAATCCGTGAAAAGAGTAAATCATTTGCTTTACCAAGTCTCGCTCGAACGTATGCTCCAGTTATGATATTTAGGACTATACGTTATACATGTGTAAAAAACTGTAAGTATTTGGGTTTGGTCCTGCGAAGCGACTTTAGGTTGGTCGGATCATATTAACAATACGGTTAAAATTTGCTGAGAGCGCTGCACCTTTGTAATGCCGTATTTTTAAAAACTAGAGTCCAAATGCCCGATCCCTAGCATATACACACTTATTCGTCCAATTTTAGAAATACGGGACGGCATGCTGGGACCCGTACAGAAAAGGCAAATCGAAGCGTTAGATAAAAATTCCAAAAACGGGCCTCAAAGTTGTGTAAATCCACGGGCTGCTTGGTGACGAACGAGGAAGAATGGAAGTCTGATCTAAGAGAACGGAATGCGCGTTTATGCGTAATGTATAAGACATGCAGAGGGAGCACAAGCATGGGCAGAATCGTAAAAAGATTACAGAAATCAGATTATAAAAGCAAGGAGACCATCCTCGAAAATGCGATGTTAGAAAGCAAAAAACTGATGTAGCAAGTTCTCCTTTGTGAATCGCACTACTATAGTTGATTGGAATGAAACTACCTGCAGAAGCACTAGAGGCTCTTCCTCTAATGTAGCCCAAATTTAAAATATGCTTTCATTCCATCTAGCATCATCTCGATAAATACTGACTGGAGAATTTATCTTGTATTATATTATTATTATTATTATTTATTATTATTATTATTATTATATTATTTACTATTGTTATGTTAATATTATTATTGCTTTATTATTATTAATATTACTATCTATTTATTATTATCGTCATAATTATTATTGTCCATGGTCCTTATACAGTGAAGGGGAGTGCAGTGTAGGTGTGTAGTGTTATGTAAACTAGAAGTGAATTTAGAGTTAGCTAGAAATAAATTGGAACTATTATATCGACCCCCTAATTCTAATAGTAAACCCAATTTAAATGTTGAAAAGTTTAGTAATTCTAATTTTAATTGTTATCATGTTTGCCACCGAGCATTAGGCTCAAAGCGAACTTCAATAAAATCTATCTATCTATCTTCACTTTCCATACCCATACTCTTGTTAAATTACCTGCTCAATTGGAATAGTAGGAAATGAAGATCTCTGTCAATTTTTGCTATTTTCTGTGCCTTTTCTGAGATTTTGAAGCTCAGAACATGTTCTTCTTCTTTTTTCTTGTTCCATTTTCAAATACAGATAATTCAATGGAAGTGTGTGTTTGTGGTCAGCGTTCCATCACTGCTCACCATTCAAGTTCACTAAAAATTGTTTTCAATTGCTACATTTCCTATGCACTCAGATGGGTAACGGAAATGGATACACGTGGAGACAAATTTGCATCTGATGAAGTACACGATACCTCAAGGCAATTTGCTTTACACAGAAATTTGTGAAAATTAGGAAATGTAATTTCAAAGTTATTAATAGGAAAGATTCCGTTTGTTGTAAAAATAAAATTACTATACCAGTTCTGATGAACTATCAGCTTTCAAAAAAATTAAGGCTACAGTGTACACACAGGGAGTCATATAACCTGGCGAATACTGGATGAATGGAAATTCATTGCATTCATTAATTTATAGGAATGGGACAAGGCCAGCAAAATGATTCACTCAAATGATTAATTACTGGATTGTGTTCAGTTAGAGAGAGGAAGAGGTGGGGAGGGAGCAAGAGTGATAATAGAAATTACAAGGATTGTATTGTGGACAGTCCAGCAATTTGTCAGTGCCTTAAGGTTTTTGAGGTTACTTATTCATTTTAAGGCATTAGGAGTATTATATGCGAATTTGAAGTGCCTACAAATGCCTATTTCATTAATAAATCACTATTTTGTTTTTAAATGCCTAGGCCTGCTTTTAAATGGCCCAGGACTGGTTTTTGTCAAACTCTTTCATCACTCAAAGAGTTCGACAAAAACCAGACCTGAGCTATTCTTTTACTATCTCCCTTGTTGTATCCGTGGAAATAAATTGAAGCCAACACAGGCACACGCGCATATATATAATTGCAAATTTTTAAATAAAAAGCAGGAAAGTATATGCTTTTGTAACACCACTAGTTACAACATTTGTGTAATGCATGGCGATAAAACCAAATCTTACAATTAGTTCTCACTGAACTCCAGAACTCTGAACCCTAGTTAATTATATAATTTACATTATGTAGAAATGACAACTATTACATATTGTCATTAATGTTTACCTACTTCACCTCACTATTACGGTATTAGAGCCAAAAAATAATTGTTCTTTTCTCGTATGTTCTAGTTGTTAATTGTTCTTTTTTAATTTAAGATGATATTTCTATTTTGTTTATGAATTTGTGCCATGACTCACCAAATTTAATGCAAAGAAAGCAAGGAAAACACTGGAAGTGCATGGAAAATACAGAGAATTCAGATTCAAGAAATCAATGGGCACATTGTTAATTCTTACTGCCTTTTTTGTTCGCCAAGGCAAACATTTAGCTTAAAGAGCTGTTATTGTAATGGCCTAATGATTTACAACTAAAGTACTGTAATTGCATTGCCATTCTGGTATCTGATAGGTTTAATTGTTTTGAGCATTAAAATAAATTGTGAACAATTGATGATGAATTTCAGCACAATAAAACATTGTACTTACAATTAACAAAAATTAAAAATATGTTGCTTCCCAAATAACTCTCAATTTTCACTTTAAAATATACAGTATGTTTCTGTTTTCAATTATGCACGTTCCTCCAGTGGTTTGTTTGTTGTCTTTTTTTTCCCTTCCCAAGGTCTTCTGAATTTCACTTTGGTACATTATTTTGCCATAGTTCGACACTCACTACAATGTTTTTCACTAAATCCATCCTTTGGCCTCATTTTATCCTTTCTAATGCAGTGGGTGAATTCTGAATTTCTCATTCTCTATTGTCGTGAATAAGAGGGGTAAATCCTCTGTAGTGCTCTTCCTCTGCAAAATCTATTATTATTAGCCAACTAAGATACTATTAAGGGCAAGGGCATTTTGAAGGGAATGTTGGATGAAGTGTTAGGGTGGTGATGAGGGATGAAGGGATTAGGGTGATTGTGGGAGGTGGGGTGGTGGCATATTTTATCCATCCCAGCACTCGCCTTACGACCGAGGGAAACCACGAACACTCCAGGAAGGATGGCCAGCCTGGGGATCGAACCTGGACCTCCCAACTTGAAAGATGGTGTGCAACGCACTGAGCTACGTCGCTCAGTCTGGAAAATTACGTAGTTAAAATCTTAAAGATTGTTAACACTATTTAGTGAAGTATTTTCATATTTGGAAGATTTATTTTTATGATATTTTTTGGTAATTTGTCTGTCAAAAGCTGTTTTTAAAATCTACGAGAATGTTACTCTAGCTATTAAACCTTTAAACATCTCTTAGGCTAACTTTGTTTTTTTGTTGCTTTAGCAAATGTCACATGAGAGTAGCGTTGGAGTGGAAACCCAGATAGCAGACACTGGGCCTGGTCCTTCTACATCACAACAAAGTATGGCTTCCCAAGGTAAGAATCATCTTTTTGGGCCATTTTTTACATAAGATAAAATATCACATTTTAATTTGAATTACTGTAATCGTAAATGAAGAATTCTGTTTGTTGTATCTGTTGCATATAAATGTATCTCAGTTTCATAACAATCAGAAAGCAAACTAATTACTTCAGTTATTATTGTCACATCGTAATAAATTTCAAATGCATTGCAAGAGTTTAATATCAGTATTAGGTGTACCTGCATGATTTAGCCAAACCAAAAAAGGGCATATCAAATGTTGTGAATGTGAAATCAGCTTGCATGGTTTGATGGTGTAGTTGAGAATTCTTGTCAGTGTTCTATTGAAATATGTTTTTATTATATTAAATTAATTTATATATGAAATATATATATTTATAAAAATTTAATTAAATGGCACAGATTTGTCGTAGTTTCTGTCCTGTTGGGAATATAGATATTGCTACTTGGATATTATTGGTAGGAAGCTCCAATTACTATAACAGCTCCAGGGTAGAAGGTTGACTTTTCATTCTCACTCTTAAGCTCCATTCAATTTAGGAGTAAGCATATTTTTATTGGTTGTCTTTCGCACCTTCTTCAATATGGCTTCCCTTTCCTTGTGGTTTTACATGGAGCACAGATACGTTGTAGCATCTGTTTTGATTGATATTGAAGAAAATAACTTAAGAATAGTTGTTACATTAAGTTTTTGTTGAGCTTCTTGATTCTACGATGTATCTGTGCCATGTAAGAGCATTGCTCCCTCAATCCTTAACACCTGTTCTGCTCCTCCAGGCTTACAGTGGACGTTGCTGGAGCATGGTTACCCTCGCTTTGCACTGTCATCTTGTCAAGCTACTCTGTCAGTTCAAGCCACATCTGCCTTCTGCACTCCTGATCCCCCTTCAAATGCTTCGCAACCTCGACGGGATGGTGCCCAGTACACAAGCTCCACATATCAGTCTCATCAAATGTTGCCTATGTCCTCTTGTGCTGTAGTTGGCACTTACAGTCATCCCTCATCAAATCCTAACAGTCCTTATCCAACTTCATATACCAGTCCATGCACAAGTCCATGTATTAATCCCAATTCCATCAATATAGCTGGTCAAAATGCCCCAGTTCGACGGAAAAGAAGTAGTAATCCCCAAGCAGATGAGAATTTTGTGAGAGCTTTGGAAGCTGTGCGTTTGGGTGGAATTGGATTCTGCAAAGCAGCTCGTATGTTTGGTGTAAACAATCGAACATTATGGCTTGAGTACAAGAAACGGGGTTACCCTGTAACAAGACCAAGTCCAAGTGTGAAATCACGCATCAAACAAGAAGTCCCTACTTCATCACCTTCTCAACAGGCTAACAGTCAACCTGAAACAACACCTACCAATGCTCCGGTATCATCTTCCTCTGCCATGTGTCCTCCACCTTCAGTTGGTATGGTAGGAAATTTCATGGATTCTCGACATACCGATTATTCACATACACAAGCCCAGTCTCCGCCCAGAAACAGATTTCAAGAAGGATCAGAAAACCTTAACCCTTCCCCTGCAAATCTTCCTGCTATGAACTTTAATCCTCTGTGATGGATTTCTGAAAGAAGTTTTAATGTATAACACTTTTAAATTAGTTCAAGAACACCTGAATGGCTATGTTTCAGAACTCGTTACTGATAGTATTCTGTATGTTTCTTGTGTGTATATCTTTTTCTCAAAGTAATTGATGTGTTCTCAAAACCAATGTTCTTCTTGCTTCTAATATATTTAAACGTGTTTAAACAGAATTGTGTGTAAACTTTAGAGGCAAATTTACATTATGTAGTTATTTTCTCATCTGCGGAGAATTTAGTAACCTAATTGTTGTTGTAGTCTCTCCAAAAAGTTCAGAAATGTTTGTAAGAAGTGTGGAGAACATTAGATATTTTGGTACTGATTCTTCTACATTTAATTATTGTATCATTATGGAATATTGTAACATGCCAGAATTCATATATTATTGAATTTCATTTTCAGAAACTGCAATGAATATTTTATACAATGTTTGTGCAAGTATTCTTTCTTTGCTAAAGTTTTATTATGCATTGAATGTGAACATACATTCTGCAGTTACTCCGTTAGAACAAGAGCATTGCATTGTAATCTTGGTTGTTTTCTGTATTTTTAAATTTATGCCATACTTCATATACAGCACTTCACTGGAGGGAAGTGATATAAAGTTGTTGTGCCATTGAATTCCTATTAAACCATATATTAATTTTTTTATGGGACTTTGTTTTGATAGTTATTTCGTTTCCATAAAAGTGATCTGACCAGAAGTTGGTTTTTTTGAAGACTCAGAATGTAATAGTGTTTTGAATGAATAATATATAGAATCTCTCGTATTGTGTGTTTGTTCTGAAAATAATGGCGTAGATGAGTAATTTCAGTAAATTCATAATTCGTGCTCTGTTAATTTTTCCAAAAGCAGAAGTGGCTTTGTTTTGATTTATTTGCCTTTTTAACGTACTTTCTGAGAGTAGAATATAACATTAAAGAAGTCAGAAATGTTTTCAATAAAGTTGTGTAATGAACTATATCCTTGCTCTTCATCTTTGTCTACAGTAAAGTGTTTTAAGCAAGTTGTATTTTGTAACAATCAAATTTTTTTATATCTCCTTTTCCTGATTTCTAGTTACTTATTTGTGTTTCAAATTCATCAATTTTGTATCATGTTCTTATTATTACCATTAAGCTTGAGCATGTTTCTTTCAAATACCATAGTAGCGTATATGTAGAAGTTAGTCATTTAGTTCTGTATCTATCATACAGATGGCATTTATCATTTTGTGAGTCAATTAAAGTATGGAACTATTCTTGTCAATATTGTATAATGTCGTGCATTATCTTTAAAAATCATAACATATACCTTGTGCATGTTTAGAAACAAATAAATTGTTTGTTTATAAATGAAAGTAATTGAATTTCTGCAGTAACTGGAAAGCAGACTGAGAGAACTTTTCTTTTCTTCAGGAGTCTGGGTTAAGAATCCCTACACCTTTCAGGATGTTAGCTTACGATCTTCAGTATCAAGCTGGTTCTCACCTGTAAATTTTTCATTGCCAAATCAGTCGAGTTTTACTGTGCAGCCTAGTTCACCTCGAGCAAAACTCGTTGAAACAGCTCAAGGGAAGAAACTCATCGTGTGCAACAAAGAAGTGCCAGTGAACATGCTTAGAGCAATTCGTGCTGTATTGCTTCAGAACTGTTCCATTAACAAAGCTGCCATTATGTACAAAGTGTCTCAATCTACCTTGTGGCGTTATGTTGGTCTTTTGCCCATGTGTGTTGGAGAAAAGGATTTGCACAATTTTATTACTTATGATGTTCCCATGAAGGATGAAGCACCTTCAACTGCCAATTCTGTTACGTGATGACACTATCTTCTATCTCTCTTATTCTTGAAACACTTTTAGAGCAACGGCAGCAAGCATTATCTCGAATTATAGGAGCTCTATAGTTTTTGAGGGCCTGCATTTTTATTTTGTATATAATTTTAATTGTTCAACTACTACTATTTGCATGTATACCATGCAAGTAATGTTTTAAATTTCTACCTTGAAAAGGGGTTTTCTCTGTATTTTTATGTGAGTTGGCACTGTACTGAAATATCAGTACAGCATGAACTCTCACAATACCATTTCATAATTATTATTTCATGTGCCATTACATTGTTTCTGTATCGTCCTTTTTAAGTCCGTTTTTCTGTAATAATGACATAAATTGTGTATTGCTAAGAATCATATTTTGTGATTAGTGCAATGATTTTTGGTTATTTTTTATATTTTCACTAGGTAAACATTGCATTGGATAGAGTATTATTATTTTAATCATTTGCTTCTAAAATAATCTAGTCAATCTATATAAAATTTTGCATAAAATAGGAATACATACTTTGGATTGTAAAGGTTTACAGTTGCTGGGTACACATAGTGTCCACAGCCAATAAATGTTCGTAATTGATTTAGCAGATTAAGCCAGAATCAAATAAAATAAATGAAAATAATGAGTTAGCAGCTTGATAATCATTGTCTACTCATGATGAATTTTCCTTGCCATTTCTGATTTGGCTACATTACTCAATTTGTATACTTTGTATTTGATAGTTGTCTATGCGTTTGCATTTCTGTTTATATTTTAAAAAAAATATAAATATACTTAGACATATCTTTTAAAGATCTGAAATGAGTGTGTCTCTTAAACGAGTGATATTATTTAGCGAAGTTGAAGCTGAATAATGTCACTTCAAAAATGAGGAATGTTAAATAAAACATGATTGACAATCTTACTTAAAGTTCTGTTCCAACAGTACCCCTAATTTTCTTGAACTTAAAGAAAGCAAGGCTGCAATGTATTATTAATTTTAAAATTTTGCAAAATCTTTATAATGTATGGTTGTACTTATTAAAATGGTAACGTTCCTCCAAAATTTCATTGAATTTTGACTGCTTTTTTTTTTTTTTTTTTTTTTTTTTTTTTTTTTCCCTCGGAACTATGAGTCTGGGGTGTAAATGGAACAGTAATTTTAGAAAATTAATGTTACAGATACATAATATATCATTACAATGCCTAATTCATTTTTGAGTTCAAAATAGTGCAGTGAATAATTTTTAAGGAAGTAAAGATTTATTGATAAAGCAATTTTTAAAATCTGCATTAATTTGTGTTTTTTACTCCTATGTGTATGTTTGTTGTTTTTAACTGTTGAGAAAATAGAACACAAGTGTACAGAATGTAAAATTTATATGTAATGTTTCCCTTCCTGTATGAATCACGTATAGGAAACCAGTCACGAGCAGATAGAAATCATCTGCTGATATTAACATAGAAAATTGTTAGGTAAGGTTTGATAATATAAATTTTGACGCTCATTAACCTATCCTAAGAAATATTAATAAATAGTAATTTTCTAATTCTGAATCTAGGTTCACTGCTTTCCAATGATATCAACCATTGTAGGGGTTCAAAAATATTGCAGTGTTGAGAACGGTATTAACTCAATAGCATTTCTTGTATACAAAATGTACATTAGAAAAAAGAAAGAAGAGAAATTAATATTATAACATATGATGACAACAATACAATCTACATGAACATATTTTTTACCTTGGATCAAGATGCTTTTCATTTACAGTCAACCAACTACACATGGTCATTGCAAAGATTGAAATGGAGTGGTCATTTGTAATTTTCAATTTTGAGAGTTATAGATCTGGAGAAAAGAATATTAGTACTGTTAAGGCGTTTTTTGTCAATATTCCTCTAAACTTCCTTTATTTTTTCGAATTAGTGAAATGAATAGAAACTGTATTAAAATGGGGAAAAAAATGTAATTGAATTAATCACAGCTAGCTAGAAACATCAAGTGTGAATTGAAAGATTGAGGAATGTGTGTAACATTTACCTTGGGTGAAGTGCTGTCAATTTTCAGTTTAATTCACCAAGTGGATGAAAGGTTTTTCTTGTATAATTTCCAAACGGCAAGTTGATTAAATAACATAGAGTAGTTCAAGCTATTTAATGTGTCAAAACTTAAAATGTGGGTCATGGATGGAGCGGAAATTAAAATCAATTCATTTATTACATTTGAAAAAAGGGGATTATTCTCTTTATTACTAATTGAATTTTTTAGTTGAAGTGGCCCACACCCAAGTTTTGGCTGCTTTGGCTTCTTCAGAAAACTGTTGTTAGTATGGCTGTCTGAAAGATTGAAAATAAATAACAATGCATTGAAACTTACAATAACTTATTTTAACTTTAAAACTGTTCCATTTCATTTCCAGAATTTATTTGTCCTGTTGTCCCTGATCATATGCTAAAGTTAGAATTGAAATTATCTGAAGTCATCTTCCATGGGTTAAATAAAATGGATGCTTGAAAATTAACGCATGTTGTTGTGTCTGTTGTAACAAAAATCCTATTAGTTTCCCTCCCATATACCATCCAATTCAGTAGCACTTTCTGTATACGTGTGTGCATATGTACATTTATGTTCGTGTCATCCAGTGATTAACATTCTCTAAATATAACATTTCTTTCACTATCTCATTTCCAAACATCACTTGTTGATGTCCAGGTAAAAAATGGTATGAAAGTACAGAAGTTTTTACAGTGCATAGTAATATTTGCATTTATTATCTATAAAACGTCCATGTTTTTAATCCTGGATTTAATATTGCTTGTGAAAATTTTCCGACTTATATTAATTAAGTTTAAGATTTTGTAATAATGACTTTGAATTCTCAATACCAAAGTAAATATGTTTTTCTAATAAGGAAGTGATTTTTACCCAGCATCTTTCCTTCCAGCTTGTGTTACATCAAATAAACCAGGCAAACGTGGGCGTCCGTTGATCCGTCAACCTCGAGTGAAGAAGGAAAGTGACCCGGTTCACACTTCTCCAGACAGTGAGCATGGCTCTCCACCATTCACCTCGGGTTCTCTTCTTACAGTACCTAATGTACCCAATGTTCGAGTTGAAAGGCCATATTCAGATCCACCCCCAATCTCGTCTACTCCAAACCTGCTGACGGTTCCACAACCCGCATACTTGGTGAAGCAACATTCAGATCCAATCCCTCCAACACATCATTCCTCAACTCCTCAACCACAGACTACTCTGGTAGTTCAAAGGCAGCTTTCTCAACCTAATCCTGGTCAAACGTGTGTGGTTCCTCCACCACCTTTTCACGTTCACCTTGTAACCGAAGCTCATCATCAGCCAACAGCATCCAAGCCTACTGAGTCAACTGTGAGGACTATCAGCCCGTCAGTAGTAATTGAACCATTACCAGTTCTGAGAGTTATAACTGATCATGGTGCAGAAACAGGCAAATCCTCTCAGTCATCAGGACTAAGAATAAGAACTGATGAACTGAGACGTGCTTCATCTTCACCACAGGTAAGACAAAACAAGACGTATCAATCACTTACTCAAGTAGGTTCATTTTTATTTTTTTCATTTTATGAAGAAAGATTTAAAGGCAGTTGCCATGAAGCCATAAGAAATATTTGTTTTTCAATTTCTTCCAAGTTGAGTAAGTTTCATTGCAACTCTGAATGATTATGTTATGATTCGTATTGATATGCAAATAACAAACAATGCAGTTCTCTTTCATACTCCTTTTATTTGGCAGTTATTACAAGTTTAAGAATTGTCTGATATCATTCTTCCATTTATATTTGAAGTGAAAAGAATATGAAAATTTAATTCTGAATCCTTTGAAATTTTATTCAGATAAGTAAAACTTTCCAGATTCTATATATTTAACTTTTAAAACTTTATTATTATTGCCATATTCATAAAACTTACATTTCATTTATTATCCAGAATTCAATTATGGGAAATTAGAAAAGGAATGAGAGTATGGCAGAGAGAGACCTAAACATTTTGTCACTTTATCTTTGTCTTTCCATCATATTTTTGCTTATTTTATTAATAATTTTCCACCATATTCGTACCAAAGATGCATTTCGAATGGCTTGAAATGGTATTTTAAATTATTTCTTCAACAATTCATTTCATTTAAAATATGTTTATTTCACATGAATTCTTCTGATATTCTAAAATTTCTGCACAGTAAGATTTATAATACGACACTTTCATGAAATACATTTTTACTGTTGTTGCCTTAGTGAGTTCATTTGTAATTAAACTATTTCCTTTCTTCTTTTTTTGTTTGTTTGCATATTCAGGCATCTTCTCCACGAGAGTCCTATGAACCATTGCGTTCTGGTCACTGCCCTGTTTTGCGTCCTGGGCCAGCTCTGGGTTGTAATTTTTGTTGGAATACTATTGATAATCATGGGCGTATTTTAAGACGAAAAACAAAATATCACTGTCCAGAATGCCAGACAAATTTGTGCATTGTGCCATGCTTCCAAGAATATCATGAAAGACATACAGCCACTGATAAAGAATCTTCAGGGTCAATGACTATATTAAAAGTATTGCCCAAGACAAGCTCCATCTAGTAATACAAAGGTAAGGTTTGAAGACACTTCAACCTGTACTTTGTGTATTCTTAAATGTTTACTGTTGTCCATTCTTCAGTGTAAATGTAAAGTAAGGAGATGATAATCGTGTGGATTCAATATTACAAGATTTATTCTATTACAACTACTAACGTACTAATTTATGAAAATCAACAATGAACTGCTACTCACAAAAGTAGATTCTCATAGCTGATTCAAAAATGTAAACTGTTTTCAGTGTCCATTAATTTCTTGAAAGAATGCACAGTAAATCTTTCATAACCAAATCCATTTTCAAATTTAAAATTATGGTGACATTTTGTTTGCTGACGTAATTAAATGCACAGGATTCTTATTGTTCTTTTACATATTTTACTTTTATAATGAAAGGTAAATGTATTATAATCAAAGAATTGCAGAAGAGGTTATTATTATATTTTAAATTTCATATTCAGAAATTCTGTATTATGTGTACATATAAAATTGACGAGAAAACAAAATGTTTGGAAGAGACAATCATGTTGTACATGTTAGATACATGGCAAATATGGTGAAAGGCCAGTGTAATCTCAAGTAGAATAAAGTAGACTGGGAAACATTTGATAAAAAAATACTTGCCAATGGTCAGTGCAAGTATATTTGTTCACGTATGTTGCTTCTGGTATAACAGCATCTTAAAAGTTCTTTAATGAACAATTTTAAAGGTGTAAAATTATAAATTTTAAAGAGTATTTCTTTGAGATAGTCATGGTTGTTACATATTGTTCAGTTGTACCAGAATGATTAAAACTATTTATGAAAGAAAAAGTGCTTTGATGAGCATGAAAAAAGAAGTAAATATTTATTTAATGACGTAATGCATACTGGTTGTGCATATATTATATGTATATGAGAATATATAAATGTATATTGCATATGTATATTTTGTAGACTTTTGAACCTATCATTACAAAGTACCTTTAATTGTTGTATTTAACCCAAACCAGGGTATAAAATTACTGTTGCATGGTCCACTGTACATAAATATTTTGTGTAAAAGTATAGGATAAAATATTTTTGACTGGTTGATTCTTTCTCATCACTGAAGCAAAAGAATGGGTATTGCTCAATTGAAAGTATGTTGAGTTGTTGGACATAATACAGTTTATATATTGTAGATGAAAAAATAGTGAACTGGATTGATAGACTCTTCACAGATCTCTTGATTTGTTGCTTCTAATGACTTCTTGAAAATTAATATCTTTAAACTGATCAAAGAACAGTTTCAAAATCATGTGGCATTACTTTTAAAATGTTTGTCAATCCTGTAAACTTTCTTCATCTATTGTTTCTATTTTCTTAAACTTAGTGTAGTTTGTAGCGAAATTTGTATGTGCTTAATGTGGTACTGTGTCATTTGCATAGAATATGATATCAACATTCATTGTCAAAACTAGGAGCATTTTTTTTCTTTTCCCCAAACAATTTTGAATTGAAGAGCCACGTGATATACTAGCTGGAATTATTTTGTTCATGGTGTAATGTGCAAGTAATGTGTCATGAGTGGAAGAGCACAAAGAAGATAATTTTCTTTTCCCAAGTTGAAAAGATTTCTAAGAGTGAATTCATTCATTTCATTTGCATCATCATTAAAAGTAATATTGTTTGTTAAAAAGGTTTTAGTCTTGCACATCTATAAAGATGCACTTGTTACAGCAAGGTGGAAATTATCATTGTACTTAATACGGATTTCATATGTGCAACTCAGAGGAGTCATACTGTTTCGTTTATGTTTAGGTCTCTTAAGGAATGCAACTTCATTTTATTTTAGTTATTTGTTCATATGCTTTGAATTCCTGTTTTAAGAATGTTTAATTATTGTTCTCATGTATTTGAAAATTGATCAAATAGTACCACAGAAACTCATCTTCAAATATATCATTCATTCTTGACAAATTACAATTTTCTGTAATACTTCCAGACACCTATTTTAAATTATGACTTGTACCTTTCTGAACTGAATGTTGGTTGAAAGAAAAATATATGGATGCAGTGCCATGTCAGAAGCCTGATGATATTATGTTGGAAAAATGTTTATTAATGCAAAGATAATGTTATAGGGAAAATATTGTTTTTTGAAGGTCAAATAACTAGAGTATTCAACAATATTTTTACTAGCAATGAAACATATCTTTTTATCACTGTCACACTTCATGATCTTCACTTTTGTCACCGTTTAGTATAAATTCTGTTGTAATGAATTATAAGATTTTAAAAAGTGAATACTGGAACCGGAAGTGCCTGATATGATAAATCATTACACAAAAAACTCAACCCTCCATATACAATGTTATAACTCTTCATTGTGCCTCTTACCATAAATTTCAATTATATAAACTATATTTACATTATTTTTATAATTGGTACCATGACTTTCTCACCATAGTAGCAGTCTTTTAAAAATCTGTCCAGTTTTGAAACCTGTGTGATGTATTCTGTGCTGTTTGTTGTGTATGAATATTCATTATAAAATTTTAAGGGTAAGTCTTAGAATATTAGTATATAGAGGGTTGGCTATGGAGGAAAGTGTATCACTAGTACTTGCTGGTACAACTCTCCACTTGTGCATTTTGTTTTACATTAGCGTTTCACTATTCTCTTCCTGGCACTTCCTACAATTGAGATTGTACCATTCATCTACTGATAGAAGAGATATTATTTTATGATAAATTGTAAAATTGTACATTTGTCTGTTAAATATTCCTTGAGTGTACCCAACCAAATTTGAGAGGTTGTGATAAATTAGTATGTAATGTTGAGACTTGAAGCAGGCTTCATTGTTTCATGCAATTTCATTTGTGTTGTTCAAAATAGTCATTTTTAGTATTATACGTATAGGTTACAAGATACATTTGTATATCATACTGCAAGATAATTTTGTACCTGGTAATATATGCGTAATGTTAAGAGATTCATCCAGTAAAATTGAAATTGATGTTTAACCCTAATATTGTGTATACTCTCTACCAGTGTTATAGCCAACCTCCCTCAATGATAATTTCTGCAATATACCAATGAGATGTTTCTGAAGTTTAAAAAGAGCTTGTTCATTTTATTTTTTTTTAACATTGAAAATCCATTAGTTCTATTCCCAAACAAAATTCCATAGCTACAGCCACCTTAATTCAGCCTAAGGAGTGTTATAGGTTTATTACAGAAGAGTGACTTAAATAGTATAAATCTAAAACATTTCATTCCATTTGTAAATTTTGGTGAGAGTTGAAATTGGATGGGGGGAGAAATTGTTAAAGCCTCTTTTGTGTTAACTGGCACAATTTTGATAAAATTGCAAAACAGAAAATGTTTTGTGAACGCCCAGCACGTTAATAATTTAACTTTTATGGAAGATATTGTGTTGAAATATTTCAGAGCATTTACTCTAGAATATTGTTTCAATACACTTATATTTTTGACATTTATACACATTTTAAAAGTTGTGTGGAAATATTATTGGTACATATTTTGTGCAAATACAGTTTCAAAGTAACATGCATGGCATTTTCATGCTTAAGAACCCCAAATTTTCCATCACAATTTTTTTTTATTTTAATACATATTTACATTTTCATATTCTATAATGCACTGGCAGATTAAAGGATACACACTGTGCATTCATTTCTTGTCATCAGGTGATGTTGGCACTTCCTCTGTCGCAGGTGGTGCATCACGAAAATTAGGAAACTGCTCCCAAGGAGCTGACAATTCAAACCTTCGGAACTCTTGAGCAAGCTCAAGGGGCTCCAAAACCACTCTTTTCTTTTCATCATCATAACGGACCTAAAACAAAAAGAAATGTTACTTTTATTCTCACACATACTTTCAATTTTCAAATGGTTTTCTTACCTCCACATAACCACTGAGAGGAAAGTCTTTTCGGAAAGGGTGACCTTCGAACCCATAGTCAGTAAGAATTCGTCGTAAGTCTGGATGATTAGCAAAGAATACACCATACATATCCCAAATTTCCCTTTCATACCAGTTTGCAGCTTTAAATACATCATTTGCAGAATCCAAAGGAGTCAACTCATCTGTGTAGGTCTTCACTCTTATGCGAGAGTTAAATCGCAGTGATAATAAATTGTATATGACCTTCGGAGAAAAATTTATTAGCAAATTTGCATTACTTAATTTTATTATTAACTTTCCAAATGCAGCAAAATAGCAAATCACCTCAAATCGATATTCTCTACTTGGAACATCCATTCCAGCAATATCAATAAGGTTTGTGAACTGAGCATTATGATGATCTTTCAAGAACTGCAGAACAGGCACCACACCCTCAGGAGCAATCAAAACTTCTAATTCATCACCAGCAGTAAGCTGTACTTTTTGTACATATTTAGGGAGACATTCTGCAACATACTTCCCATATTCTGTCAACTGAGATCTTTGAACAGGATTGAACTTGCGGACAGTGGCTGTAAAACAAAGAATAATAAACAAGGGCCTAAAAGTAATATTTAATGGTAAATTCAATTATCACTAACGCCTTGTTTCACAAGCTGGTTCTGCATGTTTCAATCGGATCTGCTGTCCAATGATGCCTGGGAGGTAGCCTGCAAATAATCAAATCACGTAAATGTGATCTAACGGTGTCAAATAATGATTTGGGGAAGTATAATTACAAAAATAGATATCGGGTTCTAGGGGTACAATACCATTGTTCTGGAACCTTGGAAATATAGTAGTAAACTGTCTGAGAATTCTTGCAGCCATGGCGAAGAATTCGAGATAATTTGATTGTAATACCCAAATATGTCCAACTTAACCCTCCCTAGCAAATTTTCAAAGCTGTAGTCTGGAAGTGTCCCTATTACACACTCGTCGTACTGTAACTCGAGTTTCAGTTGTTAGTAATCCAGGATAATCAAAGAATAACTACCTATTCCCAATCAAGGAGATTTAGCATGCGGGTAGCAATCGACTGCCAAGTCGATTTTCTGCGCATGCGCAGATACACAAAAATAGGGAGTTGTGCCGGCGCCTTACAGTGGTTTATTTCCTTCATTAGCGGTATTAAAATGTTATTAAGAGAACGGTAAAGCCGACGATGTTGAAAATGATCAGAATTATTCCTTTGCCAGTTTACATTATTTTGTAATGTGGGAACGAAATATAACTATAAATTCATTGCCCTCGAGTCTTGATAAGGATTGCCAGGTTATCAATGTTGGAACTACGTGCAATTGCTTACTCCTACTAAAAGTGCAAATAAAAAATTATAAAGAGTAATAAACAAGAAAAGTTACAATAGTAGACATTAATCTCTCTCTGAATTTGCTATTCTACCTTTACGTAGCACATTGTTCAATTTCCTTAGTTGATAGTGGTCGGATGCGTGTTATTACTGAGTCAGAGGAAATCAATAAGAAATGAAGCAGATCTTCTTTTGCCACATACTCTAGATGATTTTCGAGTGTTTCTTTCTCGACATGACTTGAAGTCTTTGTGTCGGGCTTCCTCCTTCGGACAGTTCTATTGCGACATTAATGACATAAGCGCCATGAATTCATATTTTGTGCACTGTTACAGGCGGGAAGCACCGGTGTGCATAAACTGACAAACTTTTGTTGTTTCAAACGCGTTTTTTCTGAAAACCTCCGAAGTCACATCATATCCGCTTCTCAATGCTTACAAAACAACAGAGAAGCGGAGAATGATACTTTCATCTATCCAAGTGATGTTAGTTTACTTCTCCAGATTTTGGAAAAATTGCCATCGTTCGATGTACTTCTTGTTTTAGGATGTACATAAGGAGTCACATTTTCTTTCGAAATTTGACAATTATTTGCGTTTTCTGAGATCTTACAGTATCTTTTCTTTATGTCCACTAACCCGCCATTTTATAAAACGTAGTCTGTAAAAAATGTGAATAAGGGACACGAAGAAACGAATTTGAGCGTGAAAGGCCAACATACAAAGCTTTCTTACGGCAATAATTTGTTTCAGATTATTCATTTGCTTTGGAGATGCATCATAAACAAAGAATTTCTGAGCGGAGGCTTTAACATAAGTGAATTACACACTTTGTCCTCATATATCTCAATAATTTGTGATATACACAGATATATCACCCCCAATATCAATTTTGTTGCTTGAAGCTTCGTAATTTTTTCTTCTAAAGGAACTATTTCTGTATTTGTCCTATATGGTGTCACCTTCACAAATTCAAATTTAATGGGTCTGTAAAATCTCACTGTACTTTTCGCCTTTTTTTTCTCTTCGAACATGAAGATATTTCTTTTTCTTGTCTATCTTTCGTCGTTTTCTGCGCTTCTTCCTTGACACACATTTCTCGCCAGTCATGCTGGGTTCCTTGCTACGAATCTGTCTACCATTCTGTTACAAGCTTTCCATTTGTAGGCAATTTGGCAGGTGAATCTCCGTGTCCTCTCACTTGAGGCCGCCTCTGGAATACTTCCAAGAATAATACGGGAGACATACTGCATTAGCATTTTTCTATTCCGTAAATCTGTTGCATGAGAGAGTTTACCCTCACGCAACAGCTCGAATAGCTCCCGTCGAGTGACTGTACAAACATCTGGAAAAAAATTGATTTTTTCGGAAAGGAGCAAATTGGGACAAAAATGTTTTCCACCATTTTGTTTTAGAAAAGTTTTAGAGAATACAATCGTGCAAAGAGCATTCTTGGCAATTGCTGGTAACTCAAGATAACTCAGTTAAAATTTCCGATCACTAAGAAACCTGTCTCAAATACATGGCGATATTTTTGCATATAAAATGCAACCAAAAATATAAAATAATCTATTAAACGTTAGTGAATTCTAAAGAACATACCTTCCGGATTCTCGTCCATATCGAACAATCAAGTTATCCTTAACAATTCAATGGCAGTGGGCAATAACACCAAACGCGTCAAAGCAGGACTTAGGCACGGCTACGCGCGCGGCTCGGAAACGCTCTCTAAACATACCCCTCATTCTTCTGAGAAATGAATGTTGCACTTATGGGGACTGATACAGTCCTGGCAAAACTATTAGGAACCTACCCACGTAGGTTTTCATGCGTTTCGAGCATATGCATTTTTGATTTAAATAACGCTAGATTCTGGAAATTAACCACTGTGGAACGTTCTCACGAAGGCGCCGGTAGTGCACCATCGAACGTTAAAGCATTATCGATGTTCTGCGCACGCACAGATACACTAAAGTACTGCGAAACTTTAGAGAGTTTGTGGATGCCATAGCGTCAACACAATCGATCTTCTGCGCATGCGCAGATGCAGTGGTGCGGAACTTAAACTGCACATGCGCAGATGCTTTAACGCTGAGAAGGTGCACAAACTCCCTAATAGATTCTAGGTGCCATCCTTAGCGGGAATCAATCTACAAGGAGACCCTATTTGTCCACTATTATTCATTGCTACAACTGCAGATATTCACGAGGGTGTCACGATGTTAAAATGTATGCGTATGCGGACCAAATGGTTCTCATCTCCCGGGACATTGAAAACTTGCAAAGTGCCTTCAACAATTTGGGGGCCTGTTTCACAGAAGTTACAAGTAAACAAGTGAGAACTGCGGCCATCGTGTTTCATATAGTTACAAGTGAATGTCCAGTAGTTCACAAGTGAGATTCTACAAGAAACAAGTGTTTCTGTCTCTCTGAACTTACTATAGTATACAGCAGTATAATACAATTGTAAATTAGCAGTATTTGTTTACAAGCCTACAGATACGTCTACACGTTGAACGATTTACGATTACAAGTGACGATATATTTATATTTCTGCGTTCATATGTATTTAGAATGAGGAAATAGCCGTTTTATTCTATTAGTGATAGTGAATTAGATAATGTTAAGGGCCTTTCGCACTCGAATTTTCTTCCAAAGGTAAATTTTGTTGTTTCTGAATGCCATTGCGATGAAATGTAAGAATAAATACATAAGTAAGAATAATATGTAAGAAGTAAGTAGAAGGAAAGTTCAAGAAACAATGTAGTAATTTTAAAATGAATAAATAAAATGTATTACCTATAAAGAGATGTCTGAAATTGAAGTAAAAAGAAAGGTCGGAAAGTAGAAAGAAATAGAACAGGTAGTTTAAAGGCTTAAACAAACAACACCAGAGACAACAAAACATACGCTCGCAAAACCAAATGTCAAAGACGCGAGACAGACATGACAAAACATTTCGGGCACACAGTCGACTCAATTCCAAGGAACGCGGAAACACGAATTTTTTTCAAATAATAATATTTTATTGAGTCACATGTACAATTACAATTGTGTATAACGAGTCAAATATGATGTATATGAAGTGTGTCGCAATACAGAAACTTTTCGTTAACTGTTAAACACATCCAATGTGTTAATAATTTTAACTTTTATGAAGTCATTGTGTTGAAATATTTCAGAACATTTACTCTAGAATATTGTTTTAATACACTTTTATATTTTTGACATTTATACACATTTTAATACAATTGCGCACATCTTCTTGAGTGCAGAGAGTGAAATTACTTTTACTGTCCAGAAGCAAAACAAGGGGCAAGGCAACAAGCAATCTCAACATTTACTCAAAGCAAGGCTACCTCCTTGACTCAAAGGACCAGGGAATAGAATTGCATTGTGGGTAATTCACTTGTGGGCATTCCACAGGGCGTT